AGGAAAAGGAGAATCAGTGAAGTGCAGATGATCTCTTGGTTGGGTATAAAGGATTGTAGATAGAAAATCCACCTGAGTTTAGAAGTGAAGATAGGTCCTCAAGTTCTCTGAGCTTGGTTGTTTTTTTGCAAATGTTTCATTACCCAGCTAAGTAACATCTTCAGTGCTAGAATGGGATGGGGTTTGCTTTCTGTTTATATATTGTGGCATGCCCTGCCAGTGTTGGTGGGGGTGTGGATTTTGTTCTATTTTTCCCTCTAGCAGTTCCTTGATTAAGATATTGTTTACTGCTTGTATGTCTGCTGGTAATCTTGGTGTTAATCTCTGCTTATCTGGGTGATGATTGCTAGTGAGGAGATGTTCTGGTCTTTTGTTTTCCTTTTTATTATCTCTTTGGAATAGTGTGTAGATGTTCCTTGATTAAGATATTGTTTACTGCTTGTATGTCTGCTGGTAATCTTGGTGTTAATCTCTGCTTATCTGGGTGATGATTGCTAGTGAGGAGATGTTCTGGTCTTTTGTTTTCCTTTTTATTATCTCTTTGGAATAGTGTGTAGATGTTGTTTATCTCTATGTGCCTGTTGATGACTGATTTGTCTGAATACAAAGCTTCCAGGAATTCCCTCGCATTTTTGGATTTAGCTTGGTCTAAGATGCTGACAGTTTCCCAGTTGAAACTATGGTTAAGTCCATGTGTTGTGAGATTAAGGAGTTTTAATCATGTCTTCTGACATAAAAGCAGTAAACAATACCTTAATCAAGGAACTACCAGAGGAAAAAATAGAATAAAACAAAAAATCAAGGAACTACCAGAGGAAAAAATAGAATAAAACAAAAGAATTCCCTCGCATTTTTGGATTTAGCTTGGTCTAAGATGCTGACAGTTTCCCAGTTGAAACTATGGTTAAGTCCATGTGTTGTGAGATTAAGGAGTTTTCATCATGTCTTCTGACATACAAGCAGTAAACAATACCTTAATCAAGGAACTACCAGAGGAAAAAATAGAATAAAACAAAATCCACCCCCCCACCAACCCTGGCAGGGCATGCCACAATATATAAACAGAGAGCAAACCCCATCCCATTTTAGCACTGAAGATGTTACCTAGCCT